CACAGAGAGATTCCAAGCCCCCCACCCCCCCCCATATGACAGATGTATCATGGCGCTCATGATTTTGATCCGGTGGCTCGGACAGATCGCATTTCGTTTTACTAAGGCAAAAAGCATCCTCAGAGTCCCAGACTAGTGGTTCTCAAAAAGTGTGGGCTGGGCTTATTCCAGGACTGACCTTCTGTAGCTCTCACTTTTGATGGGTCAGTAGCTGTGCTTTGGTTTCTGAAATGTATTTAGTTTCAGACTTTATTTGTAATATCTCATAGACACTAGACTCCCTCTTACTGCTTGCTCATCACCATATTGCTCTCTTGGTGAGGATTTGTGACAGTGGCAGTGATGGGTGTGAGTCTCCTGTGGAAGCAGCCCACAGACAAAACGTTCTGAGGACCTCTGCTTCAGATTTTATTTGTCAAAAAAAACCATGTGAAAACCATGCAACACACAAAGGCAAAAATGTGTCTACAATTTATATACAACTTAGTTTTCTGCCTGTGTTCAACTAAGAGGTGGCTTGCAATATGAATTTGGGTACCATGGATGGACTTATGGTTTAGAAAACACATAAATGCCTGCATTTTACATAATTATTATCCTGCCCTTGATCTTAGCTAAAGGCTAAGGATTCTGTCTGGGTTTTATTTTGAGTTTCTTGACTAGTGTTTATAAAACAGTGAGTACAAATCTACACAGACCATCAGGGTCCTTGCGCATTAGGTTGAGTATGGATGCCTTCTTTGCTTCTGTTTCTGGTTTTCCAAGGGCTGTGCCAGGGATTCACTACAATCAGTTAAAACAGTGATTCTTAAATTCGGCTAACTCTTCAGAAAGTTTTATATATAATTTTAGGGAGTGTGGGTCTCTTGACACCCTCCTCCCCGCTAGTGTAGTAAGAACCCTTACAGGAGCATCTCTTTACTTGCTAGAGGGGATGCCGCTGATTCATGAATCACTTAATAAAACCAATTAGATTAAAAAAAAAAAAAAAAGAACCCTTGTAGTTTTATCCTGATTCTTATTTGTTAAGCCTCTTTGATGCCTGAGAACAGCATGACCATAGTGATGGCCCCTAGTATTTCTTTAGCATTCACCACATTGTACTCACATCATTTTCGTTAGTATGTGTATCAGCCAAGGTTCCACCGGAAAAGTAGAGCCAGTAGGAGATATATATTAAGAGATTGTTGCAAGGAATTGGCTTACATAATTGTAGGAGGCTGTCTTACATTCACATTGAGGATATACTGTATATCTTTGCAACAGATTAAGGAAATCTTTTGACCAGCTGAGTCTTTTATCAGTCTATAAAAATTGGCACAGGCCTATTCTATAAATACTGTGTCCCAGAAAAGATGGAAATGATGATGGGGATGATGATCCTATGAGCAGATGCTAAACAGTTTGGGCTTTTCTTTTGCTAGTAGCCATCTGTCCCATCGAAGCATAGTTAATGTGAAGAGCATTGCTGGAAATTTCCCAGAGAAGGTTAACAGTCTTTTTTTTTTTTTCTTTTGAAATCTTTAATTGATATGAATAAAAATCTGCATTTGTTTATTAGCTTTGATGTGAACATCTGCTCACTATTCCCACCTCATTAAAATAAATAATGGACTCTTTTCTGCTAACCACAGAAAGTTCTAGAGGACTGTAAAGAAAATAACATAGCACACATCTAGTTATTTCTGTATATTCTGCAGACAGTAAAATTAAAAAAATATTCTTTAATCTAAAGTTTATTTAAATGTATTTATTATTTGATGAATTGAGACATTTGTATCCTGGAAATGACATGGAAAAAAAAGTGGGAGAAAAATTGATAGGTTCAATTTTTTATGTATCATTTTGTAAATCCTTTGTCCTATGGCTGTTTAAAAAAAATCCTTGTTTTGTTAATGATACGGTCCTAGAATATGTGTGATTTGCTTTTTTAAATGTTGCCAAACTATTATTTTCTGAATCATTAGTTTATTCCAAATGCTTCCAGATTTATTTAGGACAATAACTGTCAGTATCCTTGTTTCCCAATTATTATGATTAACTTAGGGTGTAGAAAGCTAAATCTGCTTGACATTTAAACAACAACAACAAAAATATTTGTGTCTGAGAATACCTTAAATTATGTCTGGATTTTCAAGCCCCCTGTACGATCATGTGATATAACTCTTTTACAGTATTATGTCCTGGTATCCTGGTTATTCATTTATTTAGTCTTTAACAAGGCACAAAGCAATACTAAGTTTGAGGACTCTCTTTTGAATGAATGAATTGGTGCTGAAGTTGCTGGGCAGGATTATCACTAACTTTACTGTCTTCATTTGGGTGATACATTTGAAAATGGATTTGTTTTATTCTCCTTAATTTGGAATGTGCTATATTTTACCATTGGCTTTTGAGTTGAGTTGATCCAGATGAGGGGCTGTTTCCACGTTCAACTAATGGATTCAGGAAACAGGAGTTTACTGTTAGATTTATAGAGTGCAAAGCAAAATTGACTTCCGTGTTTGGCCGAGCATTTATTACACAATAGAGATGGAAGGAACCCAGGAAACACATTTTAAAAAAGGCTTTCTGGCAGTAAAATGGTTTACCAAAGACTACCTCTCTGTTTCACATGAAGAGATTTCCCATCATGAGAGGAATAAAATTAATACATGGAATGTAAAGCAGCAGAGATGCGATTTGATTCAAAAAGATAATTTTCGTACTATGGGTAAAGAAAATGACTCTTCTTTTACATTTTTCTGCAAAAATCCACGTTTTGATAGCCATGAGCACATTTTGGTGCTCCAGTATGTTTGGTCTAGTAAACCCTCCTGGTTAATATCGGAACGTGCAACAATGGCCTTGGGCGATTGAAATTTCAACTAACATTTAAAAATGTTCAAAAGCTGCGACGTGTCCTGGGCACAGTTAATGGGCCAGTTCAGACTTCTAGGAATAAAACATTTTCGTGATTCAAAAAAGATCTTTGGACAGAAAACTGTCACTTGCAGTTATGATTAGATTTTCTGGAGTCTCTAAAATGGTTAGAGGTAAAGTATGTATTATGAACGGTTTTGAAGTATTGTAGTTAAAAGTCTTCTCATTTTGGAGACTTAGTTTCAAGGTTCACCATTTATTAAGGATATTCCAAGCTATGTTTACTTTTAAAAATTTGCAGTGAGAGTATCTTTAAAAATATAATTCTTTTAAGTTGGATTGCCAGTGTATGCTGTTGAAAGTAATATTTTCATGTGCTATTTTGAGAATATCAAGTTGAAAATGTAGAAAAAACCATTTATTATTTTTCAGGTATACATACGGGAAGCCAGTGAAAGGAGATGTAACACTTACATTTTTACCTTTATCCTTTTGGGGCAGGAAGAAAAATATTACGAAAAATTTTAAGGTAACTTCTGCAGAGATCTTATAACTTCAAATGGGGAAACACAATAAGTGATAATTTTTATAGAAATAAGATTTCATACTGAATTAAGAAAAAATTGAATGTAATAAAATCAAGAGTTTTCTAGCATTGGACAAATGAGAATTTACCCTTTTATAGTGATTAAAATGGAACCAGAACTATCAAATTTTTGTGACTTAGTTTGAGTTTTATTTCTAAAATTTGAATTGCTAAAGTGAAGAGTAAAATTGAATTATTTTAAACAAAACAGATAAATGGATCTGCAAACTTCTCTTTTAATGATGAAGAAATGAAGAAAGTAATGGATTTTTCAGAAGGGTTTTCTGAATACATGTATCTGTCTTCCCCTGGGCCAGTGGAAATTTTAGCCACAGTGACAGAATCACTTACAGGTTTGTAGACTTTGAAGCGAAGGTAAAGTTATTTACAAGGTGCTCTTCTCTCTTCTTATTATAACTAGCACATTCATTTGGGGTCCTTTGTAAAGATGCTACTTAATGCTGAATGTGTCATGACTTTTAATTAATGTCTCTTGCAGAATGTTTTCATAAGGAAGGGGAACTTATTTTCTATGACAGTCTATCTTTCAACCACATGTAATAGGTATTTGTAATTTTCTCCATTTCTGCTCTTTCTTTTCAACCTGAAAACTACATAAACTATTCAGCTGACTAACCATCTTCTGTTTTGTTTTGTTTTTTCTTAGTCATTTAACATCTTCTGAGCTCTTGTCTGCTCATGAGCAATTTTCTCTCTCAGTAATAAAATAAGAGTTAATTACTTGGATCTTTCTGTTGCTATCAACAGCTTTCACCAAACTCCAAAAGAGCAAAAGATGACTCAGTCAAGGCCTTCATTTTTAGTGTACATGTTGTGGGTGGACATAGCAGTAATGGCGCTCAGGAGGGGTCCATGGAGGATGTAATAGAACTGTGTAGTTCTCTTCATGGCCAAGCCAGTATGGGAATGAGGCTTCTGTGCCCTGATACCTTAGCTTCTTGGGGAAGTAGCTTAGATAGAGAAATTTGATGCATAGAAGCTGTTCGTGAAGTGTAACATTTACTTTCTAAATGGTGCAATTTCCAAAACAGGTATCTCAAGAAATGCAAGCTCTAATGTATTTTTCAAGCAACATGATTACATCATTGAGTTTTTTGATTATGCTACTGTCTTGAAGCCATCTCTGAACTTTACAGCCACTGTAAGTTGGCATGTTTATTAATGATCTAAAGCAGTAAGTTCAGTTTAATGAAATAGAATGGCAGGTAATATTTTCAGTGCTTTTCAAAAAAAATTAAGCCCAAAGTAGATAAATTACTTTTCCCCTTTAGATATGTGAAATATATAGAATTGCTCCCAAATGAACTTTGTCTAAGTTTTCTAAAAAAGTAGTTTCCAACAGAAGTATTTTCCTCAAAAAAATTTTAATAAGCAATTTAAGTTGGATTTGGATTGCTACATCAAAGCTTTTGTAAATTACTAGAAAGAATTAGATGTTAATAAAAATATTTCAATTTCAGTTTGATTTTCATAATGACTAATTTTAGTTCTAGCAAAGATGTTGCATTAAAAATTATTAACAAATCTACTTATTATTATTATTATTATTATTATTATTATTTAACACTTATTAGGTGAATTTTGGCAATGTGCAAGGCAGGTTGCTGGGTGGGGCTTAACAGAATTAAGAAGAACCCAGTCCCTACCCTGGATTCACAGTTTTTGTGATGGTGACAAGTAATGATTTAAGGCAGGATAATGTCAATGTCATGAATACATTTCTGTAGTGATTTAAACAATTTTTTTAATGTTTATTTTTTGAGAGAGAGAGACAGACAGACAGAGCACAAGTGGGGGAGGGGCAGAGAGAGAGGGAGACACTGAATCCGAAGTAGGCTCCAGGCTCTGAGCTGTCAGCACAGAGCCTGATGCGGGGCTTGAACTCATGAACCATAAGATCATGACCTGGCCAAAGTCAGATGCTTAACCAACTGAGCCACTCAGGTGTCCGTCCCCATTTCTGTAGTGAGTTAAAGCAGGGGCTGGCAAACTTCTTCTGCAAAGGACTAGATAGTAAATATTTTTTAGCTTTGTGGGACATATTATCTCTGTGACAGATACCTAACCCTGCCATTGTAGCATGAAAGCAGCCGTAACTACTTTGTAACCAAATGAGGGTGGCTGTGTCTAATAAAACTTTATTTACAAAAAGACTGGATTTGGCCTCCCTGCCCGCCATAGTTTGCTGGTCTCTGGTTTAAAGAAAGAAGCTGTCTCTTCTTGTTGAATGGATCAAGAGAAGTTTTAGATAATTCCTGATTTCAATGATCATATAATTTAGTTTGAAAAGGTAAGAAAAAACCCCTTGAGGCTGCAAATGGTAACTTCCAAATGAATAGAGTGAAACATTGAGAGTTTGGGGAGGAAGAGTTGTCCTTGGGATAGGGATGAGGGTCATTAAAGGATGCTTTATGGAAGGGGAAGATGTAAGCTATTTGTTAAAAGATCAGTAGGATTTCGTTTTATTTTTAAAATATTTTTTAAGTATTTATTTTGTTTTTGAGAGAGAGGGAGAGACAGATTGTGAGCAGGGGAAGGACAGAGAGAGAGGGAATCTGAAGCAGGCTCCCGGCTCTGAGCTGTCAGCACAGAGCCCGATGCAGGGCTCAAACTCACAAACTGTGAGATCATGACCTGAGCTGAAGTCAGATGCTTAACTGACTGAGCTACCCAGGCACCCCAAAAGATCAGTAGGATTTTAAATGTTTGGTGTAGGGGTGGGAGATGGAGAGCGAGATGAGCTGAGACACAGGTGAGAGCCTTGCTTCTCAAGTTCAGGTGCCTTCCCCCAGATCAGTTCAATTGTAGCAGGGAGTTTGTGTCCTGGAGTGGTGAGAGTGAAAACAGGGGTGAAGTGGGGGGAGTTGTAGAGGATCCTAAATGGCACATGCATGTTTTTGAACTTTATGCTTTAGTCAGTGAAGAGCCTAGGTGCCTTATGAATGTTGGAGGGGTATGGTGAGAGCAGTATTCCAGGGAGACCGATCAGGCTATGTGCAGGAGGATGGCTGTAGCCCAGGAGTGAGGTGGCGAGTAGCCTCAAGGGGATGGATGTGCAAGTGGAGAGGATGCAAGAGAGAAGTATAAGACTCGGTGTTTATTGGATTTGGGAGGTGGGAAGAGGGAGGGGGAAGTCCAGAGATGTTAAATCGGCAGAATTGTGGCGTTAGCAAAAATAGAAGAGGCAAGATGGTTTCTCAGTTATAGATGTGCTGAATTTGGGGTGGCAGGGATATACAAGTAGAAATTTCCTGCAAGTAGAACTTGGAGGTTTTGAGTATGAGCTCCAGAGCAAGGTGAGGAAAGCAGTAAGAGTGATGAGGTCTTTGAGAAAAAGAGAAGCACAGATAACTGGTAATTTGACCTTGACAAATTCCCCAATTTAGGGAAAGGAGGGAGGAACCCAAAAGGAAACTGTGAGGATGCAGAAAGAGGGCTTTGGAACAAAGAAGGCAGTTGTGGAGCCATGGAAGGCAAGAGAAGCAAAAATATCAAGAAGGGAATGGTCAGTAGTGTTGGATGCTATCTAGAGAGAGTGCTTCATCTGGAGGTTAGGGTACTGCCAACAGTTTTTGAGAGTTCAGTTTCATGGGAGTAGCACAGATGGGAACTAGATTCAACTGAACTTCAATTCTTTGTTTTTCTTGTTACCCGTTTTTAAACTGTTGTGTTTTGACAATTAGGTGAAGGTAACCCGTGCTGATGGCAATCGACTGACTTTTGAAGAAAGAAGAAATAATGTAGTTATAACAGTAACACAGAAAAACTCTTCCGAGTACTGGAGCAGATGGGGCAGCAGGAACCAGGAACTAGAAGCTGTCCAGATCATAAATTATACGGTCCCTCAAAATGGAATCTTTAAAATTGAATTCCCAATCCTGGATGATTCCAATGAGCTACAGTTGGAGGTGCCATCTGTTTCTCATCATTATGTTACTGCAACAACATCATTAAAATTGTAATCTCGTGGTAGGCACTCAACCTATTAGAGGTCAAAGTGCACAGGAAGTAGGAAGTAGACACATGTTTCTATTTTAAAAAATGGGGGAGTGTTAAAAGTAATTTAATAACAGTGGGTGAGGGGTAGATGAAATGCTTCCTTATAAATTCATTCTGAAGAGCACAGTAAAATATAGCAATCTGAAGGTATGATGAAGAAGCTCCCCAAATTCCAGCCTAGATTGGTTTTCAATCATTTGGAAGTGTATTTTGGCAGAAGCTGAAATGAAAAAGGAAAATGTTTTTTTAAACCTACACTCTTTTGCTGAGTTCCTTCTCAGAGTGGCTCGTGTGAGATCCCCCCACCCCCAACCATTCTTGATATCTTCTTTTCATTACTTGGTTCTGCCACACATTTGGCCCTTTGAGTTTCACACTATTGGTAGATCACATGGGCTGGTATGATTTCTTGCTTGTAAATGGACTGTGTGTTGTGGAGAGAAGGAAAGGGGTCCTTTCTCATTTTGTTCTCTCTTCTCACAGAGTTTCCTGATAATATGCTTTTGTTTCTGAAATAAATTAGGACTATGCTTTTTCCTCTTAGATCATGGTGATGAAGACCCTCTTCTGTGTTTTAAAGCTGTCACTTTCTTTACAGTATAAGCTATAAAATGATGAAGAGCCAATGGCTGGGGAACAGATTTTTCCTACGAGAGAAAAAAGGAAAAGTGCATTTGCCTTTCAGGAATTGTTTTTTTTTTTTTTTTAATTTTTTTTTTTCAACGTTTATTTATTTTTGGGATAGAGAGAGACAGAGCATGAACGGGGGAGGGGCAGAGAGAGAGGGAGACACAGAATCGGAAACAGGCTCCAGGCTCTGAGCCATCAGCCCAGAGCCTGACGCGGGGCTCGAACTCACGGACCGCGAGATCGTGACCTGGCTGAAGTCGGACGCTCAACCGACTGCGCCACCCAGGCGCCCCAGCCTTTCAGGAATTGTAAAACAGATAGTATTTTTTCTCAGGGTGTTACTAAGGATGAAAATTTATAGCTCCCTTTTCTTTTGTTATAGGCCTCTTTTCTTAACAGTGTGAGTAGCATGGCAGTTCATGGTATGTTTAAGTCTCCCAGTAAAGCATACATCCAGCTAAAAACAAGAGATGAAAATATAAAGGTAATGGGTGCAGTCACTTTTAATTACAATATAATTGTACTCTTTTGTCATTAATGTGTATTCATTAATTAAGATTTTTTTTTTTCTAGGTGGGATCACCTTTTGAGTTGGTGGTTAGTGGCAATAAGCCACTAAGGAAGGAGTTAAACTATATGGTAATCAACAGAGAATCTAAATTTATTATCTCTTATAGAATCATCTTAAATGAGCTACCTTATGTCTCCCTATGTGTATACGAAACTCACTAATTTTTATGTTTATTTTTTAAAGTTTATTTCTTTATTTTGAGAGAGAGAGAAAGAGAAAGAGAGAGAGAGTGTGTGTGAGCAGGGGAGAGGCAGAGAGAGAGGGAGAGACAGAGAATCCCAAGCAGGCTCTGCGCCATCAGCGTGGAGCCCAACAGGGGGCTCGAACTCAAAGATCACGAGGTCATGACCAGAGCCGAAACCAAGAATCAGACACTTAACTGACTGAGCCACCCTGACGCCCCTAGACTAAACTCACTAATTTTTAAAATTCAGTCTCATACCCTTTAGCCTGCCCTTTTTATATTGCAATCAAAATCTTTTTTTCTCTTTTCACCTATATTTGCATTTCCAATTTAAGATGGATGATTAAATCTTGCATTATGTTTAAAATTTAAGTTTCTATGAGATAATCCACATAAGTTCATCGTAGGAAATTATAAAGTATGAGAAAAACAAAAAAATAAATATTGCTACCCATAGCTTTGAATCTTTCTAATTCAGCTTTCCCCAGTGGCGCTCTATATTCTCTACTCAAAAATAAATTAACTGTGAAGCTACTGATGTCTCAGTCAGTTATTTCTTTATCTTATCCTTTTCTGTTTCCTGGCTTATATTCTCTCTGTTGGTCAGGGAGGTTTCCTTGCACTGAAAAATGCTTTGAAGTTGGTTTAAGTCAACAGTTTGTGTGTATGGTTAAAATTGTGTTAAATATAGCTGCAGTTGAGAGTCTCATTAGCTTTGGCATAAAATGAAACTCTTCTGCTACTCTTTTCAGGTAATATCCAGGGGACAGTTGGTGGCTGTAGGCAAGCAAAATTCAACAGCCTTCTCTTTAACACCAGAAAATTCTTGGGCTCCAAAAGCCTGTATTATTGTGTATTATATTGAAGATGATGGAGAAATTATAAATGATGTTCTAAAAATTCCTGTTCAGCTTGTTTTTAAAAATAAGGTAAGATTTAAGGTAATGATGTGAGAAGAAAACTTCATACTGGTGAAGTCTGAGAAATGCAATATTTCTTTAGAAAAGTATCATTAAATAACATTGGTTAGAAATTTATACTTACTTCTAGAACTATGGTTAAATCCCTTCAGTATTATTACCACATATGGATTTTCACATGTGGAGTTACTGGGCAGTGTGGGTCTTATTTGTAAGTTATGATTCTTGGCTTTAAGACTTGAACTCAATTTCTTGAAGTTATTTCAGGATTTCTCAAATGGCGGGGTCGATATTGTTCTGGAATTCAGTTCCAGCAACAATACAGAATTTGTGTGGTGCTGATGCTGGCATGAGAGTGAAATGAAGCGCGTGTAGGGAACGAGGCCGTCAGCAGTGATATGTGGAAGCAGAGCCCAGATTTGGTTTATCCGTTTCATGGGTCTGGAATCTAACCCGGGACAGATTTACAGGACGCTTGGCTACCTTGCATGTGGAGATCTGTGTGGAGTTTGGTCTCCAAAAGCACCAGGGATTTTTGTAGCTTAAGGTGTATGGCTTGTGTGGGATGCCCCCTTGAACCCCAACTTTGAAAAGTAACCTGGCTGAAAGAGTGCGTGATGGAATTGAATCATCTAGTGCATAATAAAATGAGCCATTGTTCTGAGAGCTGCTGCCTTCTCAGGTTTTTTTAGGCAAAATAATCATTGTTTAAAAGTATTGATTTGCTTGGGGCGCCTGGGTGGCGCAGTCGGTTAAGCGTCCGACTTCAGCCAGGTCACGATCTCGCGGTCCGTGAGTTCGAGCCCTGCGTCAGGCTCTGGGCTGATGGCTCAGAGCCTGGAGCCTGTTTCCGATTCTGTGTCTCCCTCTCTCTCTGCCCCTCCCCCGTTCATGCTCTGTCTCTCTCTGTCCCAAAAATAAATAAACGTTGAAAAAAAAAATTAAAAAAAAAAATAAAAGTATTGATTTGCCAAGTACAATTCTTTGATAGCATTTCTGTTTGCTTAGTTTGTTAAACTTCTGAGAGGTTGTAGTAGTCATACATGTCTTATGTTGACAGTTGTTAATTAATTTTGTCAAAATAGAATACAGACTTCTATTTTTCACTTTATGGAAAGTTTTTTCAAAGATAATGGTATGCTCTGTTATTTTTAGAGAGCAAATTTTGACTTGTAGTGATTCCATTAATCCCGTAACAAAGATGAATTCTAAAATAGGAGTTGGACTTAAGGCATATATCTTTGAAAGTGAGACCAAGTTTTAAAAAAGTTTAGTGTAAGAGGTTGTTGGCTTTGAGGAAGCAGAGTTTATAAATAGCATAATTCCAAGAAATTTCTTAGATATGAAAGATAAGAAATATAATTTCAGCTATATTTGCAAAGGTATATCTTTCTCTACTTTTATTTTTAACGTTTTATTTATTTTTGAGGCAGGGAGAGACAGAGCATGAGTGGGGGAGGGTTAGAGAGAGAGGGAGACACAGAATCTGAAGCAGTCTCCAGGCTCTGAGCTGTCAGCACGGAGCCCGACGCGGGGCTCGAACTCATGGACCGTGAGATCATGACCTGAGCCGAAGTCGGACGCTTAACCGACTGAGCCACCCAGGCGCCCCTCCACTTTTATTTTTAGGTAATCTCTACACCCAATGTGGGGCTCAAACATATAACCCTGAGATCAAAAGTCACATATTCTACTGACTGAGCCAGCCAAGCGCCCCTCTTTCTCTACTTTTTATATGTTTATTCCATTACTCACAAAGAAACTGCAAATTTGAAAATAGAATATATTTAAGCAAGGGAAAATTAACGAGTCTTTTGGATGTTTGGTAATGACTGAACTGGATGGGATGTGGAAAGCACAAGAGATGGAGGGTTAGAAATCATCCACTCGTAAGTGTACATGGAAGCCATAGGGTCTCTGAGGCGCAGAGTCAAGAGTGAGAAGTACAAGGCTGGAACATGTTGCTCCCCTTCATTTTGGGTATACGTGGGGAAACTTAAACTAAAAGTAAACTAGATACAGTGGTATAAAGGGTATATGTATAAAAAATTTCACTGGACAAGTTAAACAGGCAAGTCTTTACTCAAGACTGTTGCCAATAGGGGAGAGATTGAATTCAACTTCATTAAAACAAAAGGCAGGAGAGGTTATTGATTGATTGATTGATTGATTGACTGATTGAAAGCATAAGTGGGGGAGGGACAGAGAGAGAGATAGAATCCCAAGCAGGTTCCACACTGTCAGCGTGGAGCCCAACGCAGAGCTCAAACCCACGAATTGTGAGATCATGACCTGAAGTCATACACTTAAATGACTGAGCCACCCAGTTGCTCCAAAGGCAGGAGAGTTTTAAGCAGTGAATGAGCTTGTGGAAAAGTACTGGAGGACACTGAGAAGAGATTGGTAATGTGATTAGGCCATCTGTGTTTGCTAACTGTCAATGTATAAGTTAGGGTCCTATCCTCCCACAGAGCCTTGGGAGATCAATCAGTGATTCTTTTTTGGTGATTACATTTCAAAGGATTGGCTCCCAGGTCCTTGGGAAAGACATTCCTGGGTTGTAAAAGTGGCAAGAGGCTGGGAGAAGCCTTACATTTCAAAGGGACAGAGAAAGAATTTACAATTCCAAGTTTTCTAAAGTAAATGCTGTAAGTAAAGGGAGAATCAGGGGCTTATGGTCAGGAAGAAGCCTGTTCAGTCAAGTCGAGGGGAACAGTAAGGCAGTTTTGGTCAGGTAGTACAGTCACTGCAGCAGTAGAATGTTGAAACAGAGCTAGACAAGATGAGCCTTCTTAGTATGAAGGGGCCTCATGACAAAGCCATTCAGTTTTGCTGTGATGAGATGATTGAGGCTCATTAAGAAGTATGAGTTAGGGCCATCTTTGATGAATGTAATGAACAGAGGAAGTTCAGGCAGCCATGGGGACACAGAGCATTGGGCCTAACTAGTGTTTGGTCTGATCACCTCTTCAGTTGGAAAGACATCTCCTTGTCCCCAACCCAAGTAGTTCTGTGAGTCCCCAAGGGGCCTCTCCCTGGGCTCACTTCTAAGTTCAGGTTACCAGCACGTGGGCCTCTCCAGTTTCTTTGCTCTTTCCTGTTCCTCCTCCAGGATACTGACCCTCTCCAGGTGTGCCAGGCACTGCTGTCTTCTTTTTAGCATTGGCTGGGGGATGAGGGGTGTGGGAGAAAGGGAAGAGGAAAGGTAGAGAAGTGAAGGAAAATTCAGATTTATGCCACTGTGGGAAGTTCTATTACTTGCAAATACTGTGAGTAAAGTTTTTTTTTTTTTTTTTTTAAATTCTTTCCCCCAGAGAAGGCTTATGTATGGTTTTAGAATGATCCCTGAGTCAAGGCAAATGGAGAATCTCTGCTAGATTTTGAGTCCTTGAACTGCTGTTGGTGAGACATGTAAGTAATGCTTTAAAAAAGTCACATAAATCAATCCTGTTTTCTCCCTTTCTTAGATAAAGCTGTTTTGGAGTAAAACTCATGCTGCACCATCTGAGAAAGTCTCTCTTAGGATCTCTGTGACACAGCCAGACTCGATAGTTGGGGTTGTGGCTGTTGACAAAAGCGTGAATCTGATGAATGCCTCTAATGATATTACAATGGAAAATGTGAGTATAGCTATTTTTTCATTATAAAAATACATGCTAAAAGAGCAAAAAAGAAACTTTATTGCATTACTTCAAATATCTAAGGGAAATTTTATTGGTTCCTCTTCAAGTGTAAGTCAGTAATGAGTAAAGCTTCCAAATAAAAAGGATTTGCATTCTGGTTGTTGTGTTGGGAAGAGGCTTATGTGGTGCAGTGTCTTTGCTGTCTTACATGAGAGATGCCATCTAGAGTTTTCCCTCAATTTCATACTGTATTTGAATTCAAGACTCTCAAGAAAGTACTAGGAAATTGACTTGTATAATTCTGGATGACCCTGGAGAAGAGAGCTTTCGATAATTTTGAAGTACTTTCTATTTTGGTTATACATAATGGTTATATATAATTACAGCCTTATTGAATTTACTATTTGTGGTATATTGAAGGAGTGAAATCCTGTTAATTTGCAGAACACTTATAAACCAAGAAATATATAAACCTCTAGTTACATTAGTTACATAAACTAATCCTTTATTCATTAATCAATTTTGCTTTGTAAGTTCATTGTTGTTCATTTTTATATGTAAGTTCTTGATGTATTCTTGTATATATCCTTGATATACCCTAGCCATTGCTAGTTGAGATCTAGATTGTATAACCTATGTCAATTAATTGATTAAGTATAGTAATTAACAACACATGGGAAAAAAAGATATAAATGTTTAGGCTCATTTGGTCATCTTGAGAAAAATTATATTTTTTCAGCCTATAAAGGTAATTTTTCTCAATCCCTTTATTTTTTAAATTATTTATGTATTTATTTATTTTGACTTGTTTTATTTTTTATTTTTTTAAATTTACATCCAAATTAGTTAACATATAATGCAACAATGATTTCAGGAGTAGATTCCTTACTGCCCCTTACCCATTTAGCCCATCCCCCCTCCCTCCAGTAACCCTCAGTTTGTTCTCCATATTTATGAGTCTCTTCTGTTTTGTCCCCTCCCTGTTTTTATATTATTTTTGTTTCCCTTCCCTTATGTTCATCCGTTTTGTCTCTTAAAGTCCTCATATGAGTGAAGTCATATGATTTTTGTCTTTCTCTGACTGACTAATTTCACTTAGCATAATACCCTCCAGTTCCATCCATGTAGTTGCAAATGGCAAGATTTCATTCTTTTTGATTGCC